GAGTCTGTGCCCTATACAACCTTAGTTAGAAAAGAATAGTCTGTGCTATTCCCAATACACAACCTCAGTTAGAAAAGAATAGAGTCTGTGCCATTTCCAATATACAAAAATGCTAAAACATTCAGAGAAATTAAACGCTCAATTTGGAATATTTTACAGAAAATGAAGGCTGGTTGGCAAATCCAGGCAATCAATTTATGGTTTTCAACCATTTCCATGAGATTCAAAAGATATATGGCCCGCGGCCATGTCGGAGGAATGATCAATATATAYTAAAGAGAAATCCTTTGTTTTAAAAGTTCCTCCAAGATGGCCGCTGTGAGGTAACTTGAAAACGAAGAATGCATAGCCTGTATTATACATAGTTTTGTCAAGAAAATGCTTGATTGATAATTGCAGAAGAAACATACATATGCGAAAGGTTGTCATTTCCACRTAAATACGGCATCAGTAGTGTTTTGAGATGGAAAATCATTTCATGTTGAAACATGCATGCCTTTTGTCTAATTCAATTTAATTTAATTTTGTCTAATTCAATTGGTATTCACCGCGAATCCAGMCTAGAAATGAGCTGGTTAGTAGAGAAATATCGTCAATTTCAGAAACGTATTAAGTATACTCTCATTTAGAAATTTCTCAATATACATGTATATATTTGAAACGATATTTAAACTGATGTGTTGTTTATGTTCAATCTAACAGAAGTTCAATTGTTCATGGGGTATATATACTTAAAAAAACACGTCAATAAAGGCAAGTCTAAGGGTTAACTTAACTACCCGCATAGTAACAACGCAGGTGRCTTTGTGACGGAAGAAGCATGGAAAGAAAACTTCATTGCTTTGAAAGCTAGAGCACAGCGTCATGTTGAGAATCCATTATCCTGTTCATTTTCATTCCATATCTGTTTAAGCGTTTTAAGGTGGTGATTTTACGAGATGAACAGCGGTGTAAATGACTTTATATCCGATTAACTTAAGTTTTTAATACACGTGACAATGCTTAGTACTCTGTGTTGATCATCATTCAATCAAACTGAATTTTAAAGCTGTTTTACAGTTGAATTATAACAGAAAATACAGTAAAACCCGCTATCTCGACATTGAAGATAAACAATGGTCTATAGAACTAAAACAGGTCGCCATTAAAAAAAAGTGTTTTTTTGGAAACGCAGAATACCACAGTRGTCGAATTGATCCCTTGTGCCCGATATAACAGGGTTTGTTTTCGGAATATACGGATGTGTTTTTGAGTTTTGCTCGAGTATACCAAGGTTTGTGTCCGATAAACTTGAGTTTGAGTTAGAGATAGCGGGGTCTGTGGTCGTGATAGCGAGGTTTTACTGGACTTATCTGTATTTTTATCTTCTTAATTCTGTAGTTTTAATTTGGCAAATTGTTCAGCAACTTCCATTGCTTTGTTGATATCTTTCACGTTAGGACCCGAAGCCTGTGCCGACACTGGTTTTCCGCCCGACTTTCCACCGAGTACTTCCGAAATGGCTTTCGCCCATTCGTCGGCTTTAAGCCCTCTTTCGACGACATCCTGGGGAGTAAAAGACATAAAGACATTTAAACATGTCAAATGTTGGATTTAGGTTCTGTAACTCAACAAATGACTTGATATTGAAGAAGATTGCGAAAGACAAAGAAAGAAAGAAATTGTCAAAACGAAGGACAAAAAGACGAAGGAGAAGAAGAAGACGAACAGCAACAACAACAACCTGAAGGACAAGAACAAGAACAAGCAGAAACTTTCTTGAAGAACAACAAGATGAACAAGAACAAGAAGTTATGAACGAAACAGAAAAAGACGAACAACAACAACAAGAAGAAGAACAAGAAGAAAAACAAGAAAAACAAGAACAAGTAGAAAGAACAAGAACAAGAAGAACAAGAAAAACAAGAAGAACAAGAACAAAAACAAGAACCAGAACAAGAAGACTTGAACAAGAAGAACGAGAAGTTATGAAAACGAAAAAGACGAAGAAGAAGAAGACGAACAACAACAAAAAGGAGAATAAGGACGACAAGAACAATGAACATGTGGGAGGTGGAGATAATGAACCAACCTTTGGTACGATTGCCATGCAAATGGCTTTGTTGTTACCACTGTCAACACTGAACAACATGGCTGCAGTCTTTGGAGAAAGGCTCTTGAACTGCTTCAAGGCAGAATCTAATATCTAATAAATATAAACATGATGGTCATGACAGACGTTCAGAAGTTATATTATGAGATATGACATATTTTATAATCACTATTTAAGAGTACCAAACACTTGAACTGTGTAGCCTAAATACAGCTAAATGTCATGTTTACTGAGCACTATTTCTTGTGAATAACGCAAAGTGTTGCACACTTTTAGTTTAAGTACGGCTCTGTACTCTATTCTACTATAAGTACATTTGGGTGGTCTTTCACCTCTCGAAAAATGTAATCCAATACTGGCTTGTTGAAAATAAAAGAAGAAAACAAAAGACAAAAAGTGTTATTGTTCTTTTAAGAACGAAAGAGAATTTGTTCCGAGAGAGGGGGAAGACCTACGCCAAGATATAACGCGCTCTAATTGGCTGAATATGTTTGTATCTTTGAAGATGACTTCCACGTAGGATGTCGAAACGTCAGGTAACTATAGCAACCTTTTCCTTTGTATGAGTGAAGAACAAACCTTTGTATTTGATCCAGCGTCAAATAAATCAACACATATGGCCATATCAGGTTTCTGTTCTATGAGAGACTTCGCTTTCTCGATGGCCTGAAAGTGGAATCATTTTT